ACAGCTTTCAGGAGGCGGGACAGACGCTTAAGCCGGCTAAGCTGACAGTAATCTAGTGAGACTCCCCACAGGGATAGATCGATCTAAAATCTATGGAAATGGGGTGTTAGTGCTTTTGCATAACTGTCTCCATAGGCAATGGGCTAAACAAGAGTAGTACAGATTGCGGATTGAAGAACAGAATGATAATTTTTTTAATTAGAAAATGATTTTTTTTCGAAATGAGATATTTGGGACTTCACAAAGAAATCTCAACAATATTTCAAAAATGTTCCAGTAAGTTGGGCTTACGACGTGAGTGTCACCTCTACCTGAGGTGTGCAATAAGCTGAATCCCCGACGAGAGCCACACAATGGAGTATGAAATACTGGAGCACAAATGTGAACTTGTTTTAATTATTGATTGAAACAGGCTGTTAGTATGACCAAGTTGTAAAACAGCCGATGAAATTCTTGAAACATTGAAAGACTTGAATTGGAATATAATAAAGTTCTAAACTGCCGGTTTTATTTTTCTATATCATTTTGTATAGTCAAACTATTTTCTTAGCAAACTGCTAACAACACATTTCTAACCGAGGCGTTACTTTCCAAAATAATTTTTGTGTGTGTGTGTGTGTGTGTGTGTGTGTGTGTGTGTGTGTGTGTGTCGGGGTGGGAGACGTAGGGCATGCGTGGGAATCTCCCTCTCTGGCAATTGTCAATGATGAAAGGTATGTAATTGTCCGGGAGAATAGAGGAAGTTGAGTTACACGGGGTTAATGCTAATGTATTTGACCTCATAGTCTATCTCAACATGATTGTGACGGTGTCCATGAATTTCATCATATTGTGCTAGTGAAGACAGCGATAAATGACAGAAGACGCTGATATGATCATTTTCTTNATCCACACATACATGTATACAAAGCGACTTTTGGTAGGCCCCAGTTAAATAAAGTTTTTATAACCGACTTAGTCCTTAGTACTTTTATTTGCAGTAACATTTACTTCTGTTGGAGGATATCTTCTTTTTGTCTTATCTAAAAATAATTGTCTTGAAAGCTTAAATCAAAAATTGAAAGATCCCACAACATGAGATCTTTTGTAATTGCCCTTGTTTTTTTTCCCTTTCTTTTAATATAAAATTTGAAATTTTCCTTGGAGGGATGGTGTACGTTACATTTAGTTCAATTTTGCTGAGAGGTTATAACAGGAAACTTAATGAACTTTGTACATTTACAGTGTATGATTGATATGTTTATATTTAGTACAGTGATGATTGATGGACAGGTGGGGCAGAAGACCACGTGAGAACAGACTGTGCGTGCGGTGCGATTTAAACGGAGGAATATGTAGTCTGTGACTGCATACATACGACTGAGTGCCCAGATTAGTTTCGTTCAATACACTTTACACATTTGAAGAACGTTTTCGCTAGTCCTCGAATTGACATTCTAATGTTTACTACTTAATAAAACTACATTTTGAATTGAAAGACAATTTAAAACAGAGCACATTTGGAGTATTTTCTATAAATGACGACAAAATCTTTGTCAGTAGAGCACGTGACATGTTGTCTGTAGCAGTAGATTTGCTAACTTCTGCAGTTTTCAGATATATATGAATTGTATATAATTTGTAAACAGAAAATAAACGGCGTTCACATTTTTGGGTTACGTTTATACTGGGACACCCTGTATTTCAATTTGTATCAACCGAAAACAATTTTAACTTCGGGTTCTGCGAGATAAGAGAGTAAAAAATCTTCCTTTTAATGGAAAGGGAATTGACAAAAAAAAGAGTGTCCCTGCAAACACGTGTAGATTGTAACTGTGGCATTTCGTCTGACATAAACATACAAATGTGGATTTTTTGTTATATTAATTGCAATTAATGAGAATTATTTTGTTTTCTACTAGAATATTTTTGTGTCCTACCTATATGTATCACTACATATTTAAGATACTGTATCCAAACACCCCGTTAACCCCGGCCTTAAAGAGACAAATTCCATTCCTGTGCAAAACAGCGCGATGATTTAAGTAGTTAAATATTATGTATGTATGTGTATTAAAGAGCATGTATGGAAGATCATAGAACAAATCATTTATTATACCAAAAGTTATAGAATATTCACATTCCCCAAGACACCCTCAGAATTTTTATATGATTTATCTTATGTTCTAATTATTGAATTCCTATTTTATGTTATTGAACTATTTTAAAGAGCAGATTGATTTCATAATTTATTCAGTTAAATCTTCTTTTTGTTGTTAGTGGATAATGTCATAATGTGTTTTAGTTACTTTTATCATTCTTCTATAGTGCATGTAAAATCTAACTTTTATTTGCAAGAATAAATATCATAATTATAACATTATGCTGGCCTGTGAGTGGCCAATCTTGTCTGTTGTCGGTGCCATGTTATATGTGAGCTTAGATACGTATTTTGTTTTATATGTCTTAAATAAATGTATTTTGAAGCCACAATCACTTTGTGTGAGATTATCAATAATTGCTAACTGTACATATTAATTAAGGGATTCGAGAAAATGATGACAAATTGAAAAAATATTTGAACGCGCTAGGTGGCTGGATGCGATGTGGTCGCAGGTATCAGGACCCCCCCACCCCCACCCCTCCCCGGGATAATCCCCCCCTCGGACAATTAACCCCTTGACAACCGACCCCGGCAATGAATATAATTCTGAAAATGAACAATGTGACACTGAGAAAAATTATAAATGCCTGCCTTAGATCAAAATGTTCACCAGGTAGAGATAGGGATAACAGATAATCTCATTTATCCAGGTATCCGTTTGATGAACTTACTGACACTCTTTGTTGTTTTAACCTCCCCCCTCCCCCCGTTAATCATGTTGCTAACCTTAATGAAGGCACATCCGCAGGTAGAAATGGGATAAACGGTCTCATTTATCCAGGTATCCCTTTGATGAGCTGTCAGTTTTAATTGTTTCTTCACTATCCCCCAAAATCCCCACTGACAAATTCTTTTTTAAAAGACGCCTTTTCCAACTAAAAGTGACATTTTTTTTTGTCAATTAATAATGCCTTCACAACATTACTTTGTACCAGAGCCAGCTGAGTGTTGACGTCAAATCTATATATATATATATTTNGGACCCCCCCCCCCCACCCCTCCCCGGGATAATCCCCCCCTCGGACAATTAACCCCTTGACAACCGACCCCGGCAATGAATATAATTCTGAAAATGAACAATGTGACACTGAGAAAAATTATAAATGCCTGCCTTAGATCAAAATGTTCACCAGGTAGAGATAGGGATAACAGATAATCTCATTTATCCAGGTATCCGTTTGATGAACTTACTGACACTCTTTGTTGTTTTAACCTCCCCCCTCCCCCCGTTAATCATGTTGCTAACCTTAATGAAGGCACATCCGCAGGTAGAAATGGGATAAACGGTCTCATTTATCCAGGTATCCCTTTGATGAGCTGTCAGTTTTAATTGTTTCTTCACTATCCCCCAAAATCCCCACTGACAAATTCTTTTTTAAAAGACGCCTTTTCCAACTAAAAGTGACATTTTTTTTTGTCAATTAATAATGCCTTCACAACATTACTTTGTACCAGAGCCAGCTGAGTGTTGACGTCAAATCTATATATATATATATTTATCTTTAATTTCTACCATAGGCCAGCTGAGAGATGACGTTAATTCTATATATATATATAAATTATATTTATTTTTAATTTCTACCATAGGCCAGCTGAGAGATGACGTCAATTCTATGTAGAAATTGTTGTTGTTAAAAGAAAAGTCCACATACATGTAATTAACAAGAGTCATATTCATTATTATCTTGTGGCTTCAGCATGTAGGACCTACTTTAAAGGGATAACAACTGTTCGCATGATATCTATATTTCATAATAAATACATTGTAAACAACTCATAGAAATGTAATAAATTCTTTTTTACCACAAAAAACGGCAGTTAACGCAATTATTCTGGGATTTGTGCTTGCCATCACACCAAGTGACCTCCATAGAAGGCTAAACTCTGTAATAATCTCTTATGCTTAAGAGAATATAAAAAAAAACTAAACTTTTAAGGAAAAAACACGGACTAACTTTGAATGTCGGAATGTATTCATTTACCATTAGTAAGACTGGGAAAATTGTTGTTTACCCCAGCAAAATTCATTTTTTGGCCAAAATGAACAGTTCTTATCCCTTTAAGTTTTTACAAGAACTCGTGTCCTTATAGGCCGGGAAGATGCTCAAGAAAAGGTAACATGATATAAAAGATATGGGTTTTGGCTGTTCACGTCATATTGCGTTGAAAGGGGTGTTTATTCCCTAGTATAAGGTTCCGCTTTTTATGTCATTATTTCTTGTAGCCTGAAATGCCGTTTTCCGCCATTTTGTGACCTGACCTGCCGTTTCTACAAATGCGAGCTTGCCTCAACCGCTCGAGGTGGAGGCCATGGACGTGTTCAGTACTGGGAACATTTTAATCATGTAATCATGATTTATTCGGCACTGAGATATGTCTACCGAAGTTGTAGTCGACACAGTTTTGTTGGTAGAATAACTCAGTGTTTGGCACAACCCTCACAATGCCATCAATCGCTGCGATTTACATGTGCCGTCTCTCAACTCCGAAGGCGAAGCCCTCACATGATGTGGGGTTGGACGATGGGGAGACTTACCACTGGGACAGAGCTGTCATATTCTACAAAAAAAATCAAGGAAGATGAATTGATCTACTTCATCAGACGCAGACAAGTTTATTTGGAAAGAGAGGCGAAGGAGTACCTTATGCAAGATGGAATGAGCGAAGCGGAGATTATTAGTGATTACGAGAACGGACCTCGTGNATAAAAGATATGGGTTTTGGCTGTTCACGTCAAATTGCGTTGAAAGGGGTGTTTATTCCCTAGTACAAGGTTCCGCTTTTTATGTCATTTTTTCTTGTAGCCTGAAATGCCGTTTTCCGCCATTTTGTGACCTGACCTGCCGTTTCTACAAATGCGAGCTTGCCTCAACTGCCTCGTGGTCGAGGTGGAGGCCATGGACGTGTTCAGTACTGGGAACATTTTAATCATGTAATCATGTTTTATTCGGCACTGAGATATGTCTACCGAAGTTGTAGTCGACACAGTTTTGTTGGTAGAATAACTCAGTGTTTGGCACAACCCTCACAATGCCATCAATCGCTGCGATTTACATGTGCCGTCTCTCAACTCCGAAGGCGAAGCCCTCACAAGATATGGGGTTGGACGATGGGGAGACTTACTACTGGGACAGAGCTGTCATACTCTACAAAAAAACTAACGGAAAATGAATATAACGTCATCATCATCAGACGCAACCAAGATCATTTGGAAAGAGAGGCGAAGGAGTACCTTTTGCAAGATGGAAGGAGCGAAGCGGAGATTATTAGTGATTACGAGAACGAAGCTCGTGAAGCTGAAAAGGACCTTGGCGGACTTCTACCGTATATATATGCTGTTAGTCTTAAATGTTTGAGGGATTCGCCAACATATCAAAACACTCATCTTCTACAAGATGACAGGTTATCATCAGCCCTGCTGACCATCCTCGACAAAGGTTTGATGGAGGAAAGTTTTCCACGTCAGTTAATCGGATTGTTGTTAGTTGGGGTTTTAATTCAGCCATCTCCAGAAATCCTTCAGTTTTATAAGGAACTGGAGAGACACATGTCACAGGTATGGTCCGAATGGCATGTTAAGATTAGGATAGATGCCTGCCACCGATGGTTACGTCTGTCTGTACTACACAAGCAGAATTACCTTGAAGAGCAGATAAGGATTTTCTTGAAGCACTTGATGAGTGAGGCAGAGCTAGAGAGGAAAGAACTTGGAGGCAAAGAAATTCACTGGCTTGTTAGTGTTCTAAAATCTGCAACACACTATTCTTGTGAACTGGGAGGAAAATGGGTGGATGAAAATGATGTAAGACATTTTTTACAGGAGCTGAAATTCGACAGTGAATTCTCTGAGCCGAGAGAAGTGTACAGGTATGTCAGCCTCTGTAAAAATGTTGAATATTTGGTGCCCTCTGACATTTTATGGAAGGGGTTGGAGATTCTGCTTTGTGATGGAACTGAAGAATACAAGATACGTGCATTTCTGTGCATTAAGTGGATGTTGGGCTTAGCCCAAAAGCAGAAGTTGAATAAAGGTTTCATGGATGTACAATATGTTACAGAACTTGCTGAGATATTTAAGAAGCACGCATCTTTGTTGCCATTGAGACAGCAAATTGGTATTACATGGGAATTTAGTGTAATGAATTATTCTGATCATGAAATGCTGTTGAAAGTTGCTGAGAACTTTGTGGCTAATGCACAAGATATCGATGGGGACGGTGGTCATAGTTTAGTTCATGCTTACCTACTAATGGATTGCAATACAGATATTGCTTTTTTAAAAAAAGTGGTTGATTTAGTGCAAAACCAAGGGAGAAATATTCCCCCTTTCAAATTGCTTTCCATTTCTTGTGATTTGATGTGCCATCATGGCTATTATGAACTCTTCAGTGGAATACTTGATAGTTGTTTCCAGTCTGGTCTGATGAAGGAGGAATCATTAAATGTCATGAAGCCAAAAGGGAATGCATGTATAAGGATTGTGGAGTTGTGTGGAAGGTTAGAAATAGAGCAAATTGACAAGTATGTTAAGAAGATTCCACCAAGCCTTTACAAAGCAGATGGTATTCAATACTTTGCAGAGAAATTGAAAAATATATGTCAGCATTCCTCAAAGAAGGCTGTTTTAGAGGCTGTACAGACGATTCTTGGTGGTCCCCACATGGCAAGAGTCACGCCAGTACTTCCCATATATCGTCCTATTGTGGAGTTCTGTTTGAATGAATTAAATGAGCCTGTAGACATGAAGCTGGTGCCCAGGGTCTTTGATGAAAATGGATTCCTCAAAATGGAAAACATGTCTGCCTTGCCAGAAAGATGGAGAAGAATAGCAGTGTGGATTCTTCATGATGAAGATTTTTTTATCAACAAGCCAGTGTTAACTGGTGAGTTAAAAATGTGGTTGTTGTATGTAGAGACGGCTGTGAACAGAGTCTTAATCTCAACATGTTGTGGTATATATTTCCCAGGTAACAGTACATTATTTCACGCTTTAAACAGAGGCCATCTAAATTTGAATGTGTTATACGTCTATGTGATAAAGTTTTGACATGAATAGGTTTTCTTTGTGTAAATGTTAATTTTTCAGTATATTCAGGCACACATTTCCTTTCAGTAAGACATTGAAATATGTTTTATGTTAACATTGATTTGGTTTTCTTTATTCACCAGGTGAAGCAAAGGCTGACAAAAAATTCCTATATCAAGCAGGATACACAGAGGTTCTCAAGGTGCCTTTTAGTATGGTGAAAGGGAAATCTGCAAGTTTGCACAAGTTTTTGAAGGAGGAATTGAAAAAAATCCCTCACATAAGGTAAGGAAGTAACACTATAATTTTTCTGAACAGAGTAATTCTTTAAAAATATTGTGAAAGAGGTAGACGTAACACTTTGTGATATAATCTTATTGCTATTTGTACTTTTTCCTTTTTTGGGGGGGGGGGGTGCTGGTTGCTGCCTGTTTTGCACAAAGTAAAATCTTTTGGCATAACTAAGATAAGAATACAGAAATTGATAACTGACAATAAAAGTCATCCTTGTTTTGAGATCTGGGCCTTAAAACTATTTACCCAAAATTGCTCTATAAATTGAGTGTACTTCATCATCACTGGGTGCCATCCACTCATAGCAGGTTGGCTGTCATGGATCACCACATCTCTCAAATACTTGAACTATACTTTTTTTTGACCTGTTTATTATTTTATGTTGTCCATGTATGTTGTTCTTAGTCTTCTTTTCAAACATTTCTTATTTACTAGTAGCTTTCATTCCAGTAGCAATTGTTGCAAATGATCTTTTCAATGTCAAACCGGCCAAATTTTTGTAAAAATGGGAATTTTCTGCAAAAAAAAAAATTGTTTTTGCCTTTTTTCAGAAACTACACAGACCTAAGCTGTCATATTATAATGAAGAGTTACTTTTACGGTCTTTTTTCATCTTCTTAAGTTTGAGGTCAATCGGTGCATTTCCATGGGAGAAGTAGCCATTTGGTGCCAAAACTGAAAACTCTCTTACACCTATTTTGGAACTAGAGAAAATGCTAGAGATGTCTTGTTTATTGCATTTTGTAGAGCTTGTCAAGTGCAACACTGGAAGTGGTGTCAGTTTTTATGTACAGACACATTGACCTATTCTCTTCAAACTGATGAATATTCTTAAAATACAGGTCGAATTTGAAAATCCGCATGATCTAACCTTTTTTTTTTAGTACAGACAGATGTGTTTGTACATATAGCCTTTGCTTATGCTGTCGTCATCATTGTGAACTTTCATTATTATATATAACAGTAAACTAATATGAAAACTGTTTTACCTTTTATCTTTTAGCTTAAATAGAACTGATGAATATTCATAAAAACACAAGTGAAATGCGAAAATCAGCCTGATAAGCCTATTTTATCCACCCTTATACAAATAAAATATATAAAACTGTTTTACCTTTTGTCAGAACTGATGAATATTCATAAAATACAGGTCAAGTTAGAAAATCAGCCTGTTCAGACCATTTTTTTAAAATTATGCTGTTTTTTTGCTTTTTTTTTTTCTTTTCGGGATATTTAATCCATGGTTAAACTAATAAAATGAAAACCATTTCACATTTTGTCTTCAAACTTACAGAACTGATGAATATACATAAAATACAGGTCAAGATTTAAAATCAGTCTGTTTGGACTACTAATAGTTAATCTGTTATCTTGTATTGTGTAATAAAGTGTCGAAAATGGCAATAAAGTCATATCAGTGCAGTTTCAATCTCTCACTATGTTCATCTCAAAATGATGCAAATTGGAAATTTAAAATTGATCTATTGATATTTTTCTCATCTCAGCAGTCTTTTATGTACAAACACAGATGTGTCTCTACATATAGCAGTTACCTGCGTCTGTCGTTGTCGTCGTCGCCATGCACTTTCACCGTTAGCACAATTAGTGGAAAGCCGTTTTACCTTTTCGCTTGAAACTTACAAAACTGATGAATAAAATGTGGGTCAAGCGAAAAAATCAGCATGATTGGGCCATTTTGTCAAAAGTAAGGCTGTTTTTCGCTTTTTTTTTTTTAGCATGTATCCAACACCAATAACATGATAAGTGGAAAACTGTTTTACCTTTTAGCAAGAAACTTACAGCATTCCTTTACTTAAGCAGTATTATTTATTTATTTTTTTTTTTGGGGAATGTTTTTTTTTTCACCCTCTCACACCGATTTCGGGGTCCCCAGAGGATGTCATCCATAAAAATAAAAAAGTGTGGCCTTATGTTCTTTCACCACGAATCTCGTTCGAAGAAGCGACCAAACTTTTAAACCATCTTTACGTAAAACAGTGATATGCCGCAGGCTGAATATAAACAGAAGTACCAATAACTGAGA